TGAATATGGTGTGTCTACAGTGTGAATATGATGTGTCTACAGTGTGAATATGGTGTGTCTACAGTGTGAATATGGTGTGTCTACAGTGTGAATATGGTGTGTCTACAGTGTGAATATGGTGTGTCTACAGTGTGAATATGGTATAACACGGTATGCTGGGGAAGACTATGCTGTCGATTTATTCAAGAAGATCAATCCACACGTGTGTCCCTACAGGAAACTACTTGTATCGGTGTAATTATGTTTCTTGTCCTCTTTCTCTATGTCAGTAGTTAAAGAAATGGAGAGAATCTTGTGAAGAAAACAAGTTTTAAAACCGAACGAAGGCTCGCAAAGGGAAATAATAATGATTTAATTCAAATAAATTAGTCTGAAGTCTCAAAATATTCTCAGGTCATTAATGGAATTTTGGCAAAAGTGCATGATCAGACCAAATAAGCACTTAATACATTCGATTGGAGAAGTGTGTGTTTGTTTGTTTGTTTGTGTGTGTGTGTGTGTTCTCTCACGAAACGAATAGTGCATTTACTCTTGGTTAGTTTTTCTTATCAAATATTTTTAGTCCTCCAAATACACTGCTTTTGTAGAGGTCTGACATTCATAGCAGTCATTTGGATTTATATTGAATAGAATGACATTCATAGTAGTCATTTGGATTTATATTGAATAGAATGAGATTCATGGCAGTCATTTGGATTTATATTGAATAGAATGACATTCATAGCAGTCATTTGGATTTATATTGAATAGAATGACATTCATAGCAGTCATTTGGATTTATATTGAATAGAATGACATTTATAGCAGTCATTTGGATTTATATTGAATAGAATGACATTTATAGCAGTCATTTGGATTTATATTGAATAGAATGACATTTATAGCAGTCATTTGGATTTATATTGAATAGAATGACATTCATAGCAGTCATTTGGATTTATATTGAATAGAATGACATTCATAGCAGTCATTTGGATTTATATTGAATAGAATGACATTCATAGCAGTCATTTGGATTTATATTGAATAGAATGACATTTATGGCAGTCATTTGGATTTATATTGAATAGAATGACATTTATGGCAGTCATTTGGATTTATATTGAATAGAATGACATTCATAGCAGTCATTTGGATTTATATTGAATAGAATGACATTTATGGCAGTCATTTGGATTTATATTGAATAGAATGAGATTCATAGCAGTCATTTGGATTTATATTGAATAGAATGACATTTATGGCAGTCATTTGGATTTATATTGAATAGAATGACATTCATAGTAGTCATTTTGGATTTATAATGAGTAGAATTCTCAGATGAACTCTTGAAGTAAATCGAAGCACATTCCAAACTGCATTTAACTTCTATACTCTAATGGAATATTTTCTTAGGGTGTTTTGATAGAATGTCAATGATATACCTGTAGAGGGTTTTTAAAAATGCAGGTCTAAATAAGTCATAAAATCCTGATCTGTTCTATTAATATCAAAGTCAAGGTTACAGTAAGAATGACAACCATCACGTTAAGAAAGAGGAGCTATTTATTGATCATTTCATAAAATATGTACAGGAGCCACATAAAGTCTATTTAACAAAAAGTACTGCTATGCAGAGGATTAATTTCCGTTGATTTCTCTTCAGTTTAGAAGCCATTTATATTACCCATGTAGACTTTTGATATTTAAGATCACGAAATTAGTATATTTAAGATCTTCCCTTTGTGGAAAAAGTGATTGACTGTTAGGAAAGGTTTTGTTTTCTTCAATATTTGCATGGGTATCTAAGCTCTAAATTACTAACTCAGCGGGTTCAGAGACTGTCACTTCTTTTGTATTTAAAATATAAGAATAATACCTATTTCTTTGTTTTATGCGATAGTGTGAAAGGAACCAACACATCACAATAGTGGTTAATTACGCTTAGATCATTTAGGTGTAATAAAAATAAATGGTCACTACTGCTATATTTATTATGTAGGTATCAAATTTCAATTTGTTCAAAGTTAATAATTAGAGGCTGCAAATGGAGAGACAGAGATTGGGTGTATATATATATATATATATATATATATATATATATATATATATGTATATGTATATATTTATATATATGTATATCAATTTGTATATATATATATCTATATATATCTATATATATCTATCTCTATCTATCTATATATATATATATATATATATATATATATATATATATGTCTATATATATATATATATATATATATATATATATATATATATATATATATATATATATATATAGAGAGATAGATAGATAGATAGATAGATAGATAGATAGATAGATAGATAGATAGATATATATATATATATATATATATAGATATATATATATCTATATATATATATATCTATATATATATATATATATATATATCTATCTATCTATCTATCTATCTATCTATCTATCTATCTCTCTATCTATCTATCTATATATATCTATATATATCTATCTATCTATCTATCTATCTATATATATATATATATATATATATATATATATATATATATATATATAAAGAAACATCATTTGAGAAAACAATCCTAAAGTTAAAATGCAGTCATACGTCATGCTTGCTTTGTCACTCTACGATTTCCTGACAAATGATATCAAGCGATGACTAGGCGTCAAACTTCTGTACAATGAATCGTGAAACGACATTCATACAGCATTCACAGAGATACCAATTGGCGAAAATTATAAATCGAGGCCGTGACGTTAGTCCACTGATGGCATCTGTCCCAGTGACCACACTTCACTCATGTAGTCTTTGTTTTCGGACAACAGTCATTATGACTTATAAAGCTGAATAATTTTGACGTCGGTATCTGGAGAAAAGAAAAGAAAATATTAAACAAAGACTGCATGTGTGAAGTGACTCATAAAGTCACACAATAATCAGACAATTAATTCATATCAATAAAGAAGTGGTTACAAATCAAAGGCCATTAAACTCCAATAAAAATTCCAACTTTGGAATTATATATAACGTAACGCGTCGCAATGGGATTATATATAACGTAACGCATCGCAATGGGATTATATATAACGTAACGCGTCGCAATGGGATTATATATAACATAACGCGTCGCAATGGAATTATATATAGCGTGAGGCGTCGCAATGAGATTATATATCAGAACAGAGAACAATTTTCAAAAGGTTTAAAATTATCTCTGTCTAGTTGCAGTGTTCAACAGTACCTTATTGGCCTTAACGATTAATGGTAGTAGAAGAACTAGACACAATTTATGACATTACTATTTCTGGTTCTTATATAAATATGTTTCAAAAGGTGAGAATAAAAAATAGAGTTTATAAATTTCGGCAAGAGATACACCACGTTTTAAATATGATACTACGCAATAAATGAGCAACTTTGATTTCAGCAAGCATGATGCCATGACCAAAACAGTGGATCTTTAGGCATTAGTGACTTTTAAAGAATATCATCTTGTTCCTTTTCATAATTTTCTTATATTTGTAAAAACTGACGTACATGTTGATCCGAGTACATACAATCCAGAAATAACTCAAAGATTCCTAAGTTATATTAAAACGAATCGAGAACTTAAAAATTAATTATATATTTTTTTCGTGAATAACAGAAGAGAAAAAGATTTGTTTTCTTGTTCCGCGATAGGGAATTTATCAACAAATAAATTCATGGTTTTGGTTTACAACGGAAGTCAGTTCCAAATCCGAAAAGTTTGCGCTTGATAATTGAAATATAGATTAAGTAGCTACACTTGTCGAATGTTGTTGTCCACTAGCAGCAAATAGTTTGTACCCAATTAGGATCTGGCCTTAATGTTAATGTAAAACGGTGAGGCATGCGGTCATTCGTAATCAGTCTGGATGGCAGAAATTCAGAAATTTTGCATGGACAAGGAAATATTTGCTTAAATTTAGCAAATCTCATTTTCATTTTCGTAAATGGTTGAAAACATTAGTCATACCTTTTTCACACGCTTATGATATATATTTAAAATTTATTTTGCTTGAGTGGTTGTGTCCTTGTGAGTTGGTGTGTGCGTGTGGTCGGACTTTTAACGTAGCTTTAACAATTGTAGTTATATTTCTAAGATGTCTGCAGTGGGCAGTTTCCAGTGATGTGTATCAATGGCGCATTATGCCTCAGACATATAGAATTATGTATCACCCAGTCATATTATCCTATTACTGGGCCAACTATTTTTTATATTAACATGTTAAAGCTGAGAGCTAAGAAAGTCAGCTGATGGTACAATTTTCAAAATTCTTTGGAATGACTCGACCGGGGATCGAATCCATATCTGAGACAGACACTCTAATCACGTAGGCCTGCATAGAGGTCTTTGAAATTTTAACTTTATCACTGCACTTTACTGGTCCAATATCGTTAGTCATCAAGTGCAGTAACAATGTGAGGTGGCGCGTTTTGAAGCCGCACCGTCATTGCAAAGACTTATAAAAATGCTAATAACAGCTGTCTCACTTGGTGCTCAGCATTAAGTGGTTAGTGCTAGAACTGGTTGGCCTGGTGTCGGATTGAGATTGGCATATAACTGGGAATTGTTACCCGAGACCAAACATATCAATAAAAAATTACAAGACATTATCCACATACGCACCCATCCGGAAAATCACCCAGAGAAGTGTATGAAAATTAATGAACTTGCGCCTTAAATTGTCGTATTAGAGGCACGTCTAATTTCGCAAATACTAAGATGTTGGGATTTATTTGATGTGATTATGATATTTATCGTAGCTTTAACAATTTTTCAGTCATATCACTAAGATATCTGCAGTGTGGCAGTTAATAATGATGTATAGCACTGGGGCATCAAGTCGCAGATATGTAGCATGATGTCCCACCCAGTCACATTATCCTGACACCAGGCCGACCAGTCCTAAAACTAACCTCTTTATGCTGAGCGTCAAGCAAGGCAGCTGTTAGTGCAATTTTTGTAAGTCTTCGGTATGACCCGACCGGGGATCGAACCCACGACCTCCAGCATCCGAGGCGGATGCTCTAATCATTAGGCTACCGGAGCAGTTGTTGCGGTTTATAGCTTCTAACACTTTGAACAAGAGAGTTATAGGAACTGTCGCCAATACATTAATTATTGATATGTGTATTTGTTTCCCGCAATGTATAATGTTCTAGCTAAGTACAAGTACTTTCGCATTCAGTTAATAAAAATTAAAGCCAAACAAACATATTTCTGTGAAATAGTGACCCAGCTCTAGATAAAACATCATCAACCATCAATCCAAGAGCTGTGTTCTGGAATCGTGTATAGAGCGGAATTTATGACGGTTGATCGTTGATGTGGTAAATCAGTAGTGAGTTTACTACGGTGCCGAAATATATCTATGTAGAAACGTCCGTGAACATGAATATGATGACGGCTTTAGATTTCAAGTATTGTTATTTCAGAAATTGCATTGTAGCGGAAAGTGGTTTGGGACGTTAATGATCTCATGTGAGTAATCCGGCGTTACGCTAAACATTGAGTATTTTAGTTTAAACGCCTTTGAATATACCCGACTAAGACAAATCCCCTAATGTAGCCTCACCATCAACAAATATTTGTATATAATTTTGCAGCCAGCAGACGGTAGCGCAACAGAGACAAATACCCAACCGTAAACCCTTTGACCCAGCCAAAGTAAGTAGTGCCAGTTCATGGGACCTCACAGTGTCCATACATTCGCGGTAACTCACCTGTAGAAAGGTCAAGAGTGCTAAAATTTGATACCTGTTCCTCAGTGGACATTTTGCGTGTGAATTCATCTAAATGAAAACAAATATGAATCGCGGAAAGTTTGTCTACATTTTAAAAAGGCAAATATATAATATTTTCTGTGTGAAGAAACAAATATAAATCACGATTTAGTAACACTACCCAGACTTTATAATTTTATCTCAATAAAGAAAGCAGACGTACACTCTCACAACTGGGTATAGAGGCATTGTATTTATCTAAAGAGAAATTATATCATTTCGTGACTGCATTTACAACAGAGCCAGATTATATACTGTGGCTCGACGAATTATGTAGTGCACAAAATTTTTCCGTTGATGCTTTTATTAATGTGGTTTGTTCTTCTTTCGACACATCGAGTTTGATTAAACGCTTTGTAAAGGTTTACCCCACTGTTATGTTTTAGTCGTGGGGATTAGGGGTGGGATACTTCCAATATTGTATTTAAATTATTGCAGAAGTCCCACCCTTTCTCGATTTTGGTTGGAAGTTGATTTAGTGAAAGTTAGATGTACAGCTCCGAGGCCCCAGTCAGCAACGCCGATGGTCAAGTGATCAAAGATATAACAAGGGTGAAGTTCAATAATAACAATTTAATATCAATTAAATGGCCAATAATTTGAATTTCCCAAATGCACTTGTTCCGCTCGACCCTTTACTAGCCTATAGCATCATTTAATTTGTAGTGTTTGAGATTTCCACCTGTTATCTATGTATTCTTCTCCTATTTCCCTTTCTTTCTCCCTCACTCCCCCATGTTCCTTATCCTCTTCTATTTCAATCTCCAGACATCTTTCCTCCTCCATCTTCTATCCCTCATTTCTATGCCGACTACACTTTGTCTACTCCGGCTCCTCAGTCTGTCTCACTTCGGTCTCCCTCTTAGAGACTTGGGACTGCTAAACTTGAACCAGAAGTTCTGTCCCCAGAAAATCTTCCTGTGAAAACACATGGATGGTCCATTTTCTTTAGCGCTCACATCTCGCACTACATAGCTTATCATCAGATAATGGCTATTAAATTCTACCGTTCACGCATTCATTCACACCGAAATACGCATACGTTGGTGTTTGGTAAAGCACAACATAATAAATATGTCATAACAAGAGCACGGTATCAATTACTCTTATACCAACAACAATAAATTACTTCACAGCAGTGCATACCCTAATCCCATTATACTGATATTATCACTATAATAAGATAAATCTCTTACATTACAACTCATGTAAAATTAGCAAATATTGAAATATCCATGCTCTGATATATTCATGCATCTATTGTAATTAATCTTACATACTTCAATCATTTCTCCAAACTGCATTTCAATCATGCGTAAACTCTGACATAACGCATAACTAAATATACTGGTCAGTATAAAGTAACCTACCCGACTACCAGAGAATTACAATATTAATTCTGACGAGCTAATAATCAACACAATTCTCTACGTAAACTCAAACCATTGTCTCAAATAAGCAAATAAATGAAACACTACAAGGTAATTCTACATACTAAAACAATCCCAGTAATTAAGTTTACATACAACAAATAATTACAATTATGACGCCGTAATGTTTTGCAAAGATCGAGTAAAGAACTTACTGCCAAATTACGAGTGGCTTCACCTTGTTATATCCTTAATTCTTATAATCTGTCCAGGTAAACTGATAATTGTACGGCGAGTTTGAGCTATAATTCTAATCTAGGTTTGCATCCCACCCTCTATCTTAATTCCAATTGGATATTGTTGTGGACTGATCCAATCAAACGTAACAGACAATGTCTTCTCTCTGTCTGTACATGTGGAGGGTGAGAAAATGCCCAGTTCACCATGCAAGCTTCCTTTAATCTCTGAACTTATATTTTACGCCTGAGTGTGAATACTACAAACCTTTGACCAACGGCTATTATATAGTCTGTGTGGCTGTCAACTTTCATAAGGGATTAAGACTGCCTGCGGCGATGTTTACACATCAAACTCAGTATTAATAACCAAGTTTATACATCTGATAACCAAACCGAGCAAACGTGACACACCTATGAATCTTGTACTGTTTCGTCTATGGTAGAACAGTTTTGTTTTGCTAACCTCAAAGGTTTCTAGTTACTATACACAATACTTAATTCTCAAAATCCTTTTCGACGACAGAAGTGAAGAAGTAAATCTGAAAATATCCAGGACAAAGCTGACATAGGAGATAAGTAGAATACGAAAGTGTGAGTTTACGTTGCATTACACTTTTTCCTTTTTATTTCTGGTGAGTCTAGCGACAGCGTAGCTATACAGATTCTTACGCACATGCTTGCTTTTGGTTTTTCTTGCTATTTTGCTATTTTGTTTTTTTTTTTTTTTTAATTTGACAAAGTTGCTTTGCTATATAGGATAAGTCAGAGCAGAAAGAAGATTCTGAAACTTGTTTATAGTTTGACAGGCATTTTAACTGGGAAATCGATTAAATGGAAGAAACAAAAGGGAATAGAAGTGTGAGACCTGCCTTTTGGGAATAGATAATATAGGTGAATTATACTCACTAAAACCAATAAAGCTCAAGCACAAAATGATGGGATTAAATATACTGGTATCAAAATTAAAACCTACTTTGCTACCAAGGCAGAGGGAAATAAGCTCATAGCGTTATATCTAATACGTCGTCAGCTATTGGATTGGGTGACATTTCAAACCGTCAAAGCGGAGGAAAACAAATTTGTTTTGTACCCGAAGGACTATGAAAGTCCGATTCTTAAACAAGACTACGTAGAAGTGAAAGGAATCAAAACTAAAGTAGGGGAGACTAGACCGATGATAAGAGAGGTTGAGGCCAAAAACACGAATCTGTTTATTTCTGGCCTCCCTATAGAGATACATTGCAATGAAGGTATAGTCAAAATTAAAAAAAATACTAAAACCCTAAGTAGTAGGACAAAGAATGGCAACTATATGGTGGTTTAACGATGTAAAATCTGGAGTAAGAATATTTACAGTACTTAAAATAGATGAGAAGAAAACTTTTAGGTAATGAGTTTTATCGTAGACACTTGGTACAGGGGATAAGACAATGAACGAACATGCCCAAAATGCAAACAAGTAGGACACAACTCAAAATATTGTAAATACCAGCCTGCCCTCATATGCAAAGATGGTTAACAATCAAAATGTTAACTTAAATGAAACAAAACAAAATCAATTTTTTATTGGAAAATTTCAGTAAACTCCTAAAGCAGATAAGGAATGAACAGGAAGCAAATAACATCAATAAACAGACAGCCACAGAGAATAGAACATAAACAGTCGAAACAGTCAAAAAGACAAATTTGATAAATGACCCAGCAAAGGTTGCACCAGAACCCCCTAAACAGAGCCAAACACAATGAATGAGACGGGAATCCAGATTGAAGTGGTGGCAAAAGTATGAATGAATTATCTGAGCCAAAACTGTATTGGAAACCAACATGAAACTAATAGATATACTGACAAAGAACAAGTTTTTTGTACTCTCTGAGGATGTGGATGAAAAAGAATCACCCCAAACTGATACCTCAGAAACTGGCATAATAGAAGACCTAATAGGAATCCAATCTGTAACTTCCACACCAGTCGCGAAAGCTAGAACAAAGGAAAGGAAAACAGATCAGTCAATATCAGTATCATTAAACAGCAGTGAACATACACTGCCAAAAGAAACGATACCAGCAGAGACAAAAGAAAATCAGAAACTGAAAAAGAAAAAAGGAGGAACTACAATGAGTAAAAGTGGAAAAGGGGGAGAAACTGGAACGGATGATGATGACCTGGATGATTTGGAGGGAAATGGGAAGAGAAATGCTGAAACATACTTGGATACAGATATAAATCTAATGAGGAAAATTAAATAGACAAAACGAAAGATGTAGAGACAAAAGCAATGAGTACTGAAAATACTGAAAACACTGACAACTTACCTGAAAAGCACGATGCAGTTCAGTATGTTGTAATATCTTAATGGTATTGTGAATGGAGTTCTGCATGCATAAGCAATGTCCAATTAATGTGTGAATCATTATATGATGTTAATCGTTGAGAGGTGAGATGATGTTTGACCTACAAGGCTATATCATATTTGATCATATCATTTTAATCTGTTGCTGGAAACTTCTACCATATGTGTCCTTCCTGAACGTATGCCACCCACCCACCATTGTTTAAATTGCAGTGTGCATCTCTTATAAACATGTGCTCGGTGTTTTATACTAAATGTGAGTATAAAACCTTGCTCTGGTCATCGTAATGTCACTCTTTCGTCACG